AATAAAAAACTAAAATAGTAATATTTAAAGAGGCAACAGATAGGATTCGGGGTTTGTTAGCTTGGCGCCACCTAGCGTCAGCAGTGTTGCTGGCACTGTCGCAAAGACCAAATTGACTGTGGGGATCAGAGATAATCAATAAAATGTAGGCTGTAAAGCCACCAGTATACCTCTGTGTATATGTAGAATGAGAAGGTGAGTGGACACTATACTAAATAAATGAGTAAAGAGACCGAGCAACAATTATCAGATTTATCTGAAGACAAAAGCAAATAGTAATGCAAATAATTATACCAGAATGCACAATACCAGTACAAACAGCTCACAGTAAATGATACCAATATGTAACGTTACAGCATCAGTACAAACAACAGTAGACACGTAAGGGATAATGTATAGTGAGCTGGTGACTGTAGAAAAAGAACTCCCGACAGGGGAATGGAACCCCGACGCGCAGCAGAGTTATTTTTCAACAGTCACTGGCTCACTTTACATTATCCCGCTTAGAACATGGCCTACTACTAAAACATTATTATTAAACTGCTGGCAGAGTGTACAGAGCAGGGGTATATCACTGTCTGAGGGCTACCGTAGAATGGCAACGAGGATGTCAGCCGACCAACACTCGCTACCCAGTCCCTGGTTGCGGCGATTTGCGATGCTGGCCTGCTAGGAATGAACTAGCAGCCAGTACAGTACAGTCCTCTCTCGGCTAGCTAACATTTAGCCGTGTTACTTACTGAGCCATTAGAAAGAAAGCTAACTGGACACCGATGTTGAACCTCTTTGGTCACGGAGCTCCCTCCATCTCTTGAACGCCTGACTGAGGTTTACTCTTGTTTTTCCTCTTCTTTTATCACTCTCCTTTTTGTGCATCCTCGCCTCCTCAGACAGATTAGCTCGTTTTCTTTTGGGAGGCCGTTTTTCACTTATCTCCAAAATTTGTCAGTCTGCCATTGTGCTCCTGACTCAACTATCTCATGCCCCGGCCAGTTCCTCATAAGGACCAGCTCCAGTACCTGAATGGCTGACTGACCAGTTTGGCAATACATGACGCATTTCCTGCCGTAAAGCAGATTTTTTCCACGAAAATTCGTCCCCGGTAGCAGAAGCTTATTGCAAAGATTGCAAAGCCATTAAGTAACCTATGTAAACGCTGATAGTCTGATTTTACTGTGTATACTACCCTGTGCAACCCACATTATTTCAATAATGACATATATAGGCAAAAATGCTGTCTGTTGCTTCTTTAATGAAACTTAATTAGTCATTTCTTGCAACTCAAAATTTTCAAATGTTTCAACTGTCAACAAACCTGCTGAAATCATCTATTGCTCTTACAATGGCCACTTTGTCCTTACGGTCCTGCATTTATCTTATTGCTATTGGCACATTTAGTGCATTTATCTTAATGGCACAAAGCAATACATCACATTTCCTCACCACAATCATGTGTGGGCTGAAGCTCCACCCAGAACCACATAAAAATGTGCCACCTTCCAGTCTGAGTCCAGGGGTGGTTACACAGTATAAATATATGTGAAATCCAGCTTGAAATTTACCACTTGAGACACGTAGAAGCAGACAGTTATCTTCTCCGTTAACCTCAGCAGACCTTGTGACAATGCCTGGAGCCTGGAGTGAGACAAAGAATGCCACTGATGAAATTCAGAAGATTTGTGATCAGGTGAGCTTCAATCTAACTTTATTCTTCACAGCCTCCACATACAACTCTCTGGTCTGTATTTCAGTCTGGATTTACATCATGTTTTATTCTATTCACTCACAGGTGAAGGGGCCAGTGGAGGCTATTGCAGACCGGAAGTATACGGTCTACAGAGCAGTCAAATACAGGAGTCAGCTTGTGGCTGGAGAGAACTTCCTCATTAAGGTAAAAAAAATATTGCTATATTTGACAAAAAGGTTTGAAAGCCTCAGGTGTGTCTTTGTGTGATATACAAGTTGAATTAATTGTGACATACAGTTGAACCTAATGTCATGTTAGATTCATGGCAGGACAGTAAACACCAGTTAAACATCCCTGATGGTAGAAGATCTTCACTGTTCAGCAACACAAGATCCAGATGAATATATTTGTTTAGATGCACAATTTTCCTCTCTTTTCCTGCAGGTTGATGTTGGAGAGGACTATGATCATCTGAGCGTCTATCGCAAACTTCCATGTGATGGAGGAGAGGTGGTGCTGCGCGGTGTCGAGCAGCACAGAACCAAAGACGCCCCGCTCGTACCTTTCACCAACTGATCACACAGCCTGTTTCAACAGTTAAACACTTACAGGCTGCAGTCTCATGTTAAAATGCTCTGCTTCTTTATTCTGAAATGATTTGACTTTGATTTGGTGTTGGAAAGCACCAAGTTGAATGCACTGCCTTCTAAAGAAAACATAAAGATTAAAGCATTAAAAAAATTCTAATTATTTTTGTGGTTCTTATGTGCAGCATTTGCTTTTCTTGTGTGAAGTCTGATTTTTTAAATAGATGTCATCTCGGCTGAAAGAAATGGTTACAAGTACATTTAAAAAAGTAAACACACAAACCGGGAAACATTTTTTGCTGTCAGTTAATTGTCAGGTCAGGTGTCCTGGAGGAGGAAAATTAATTGTATACATACTTCTGAGATTACTAAATGAGTGTGGAGCGTACAGAATCTGACCAAATGAGGAAACACACTCACACTGAGTCCTGTCTGCAAACTTTCCTGAACAAAGGTAACACAAAGACGAATGATATTAACAGGCTGCTATCAGCTCTGTGAGGCTGCACTGAGGAACAGTGGTGCTTTGAGCTGAATGCTAACATGCCCACATTGTCATGAGGATTCATTGCCTGGTCACCCTGTCGATCCAACCTGTTGTTGAGATATTTCAGATATTTTACCTGACTTTAACCATTCCTGTAAAACGCCCATCCAAGGCATACCCAAGGTTAACAAAAAGCTGTTCTTGTTTCATGCATGTTCATGCATGGTCTCATTAGAAAGGTAACACTGAGGTGTCTCCACCATAAGTCAGAATCATTGTAAGTGCTGATCTCACTGATCTCACACTGTATAAGTTTCAACACACTGCTGTTAATTTTTTTTTTATCTTTGCCTTAATATTTGTTTGTAAAATGATGCTGCAGATAAAACTGGGATTTATTAGCTGGGAAACACAATGGCACCATAGCGTCAAGCCTCACCTAGTCCAAATTAAATATAGATAGCAATGTTTTTCTAAGGTTTTGTCCAGGTGCTTTTGAGAGAAAGGGCAAAACAAATCAACACAGACAGAAATGTCTATTTAGGAGCTTACTGTATACAACAACACTTTTAGAAAACCTAAAAACCAAAAGACTGTTTTCATCTGATCATTCATGTAGCCTACATTTGTAATAGTCTATAATGACAGTAAACAAGACAAAAAAAAGCTCCCTCAGGGTTGGCAGTGTCATTGACTACAAGACCCATCAGTCTCTGGACCAACCTCTGGCTACTGATTGGCTCTGAAACCCAGGAAGTAAGGCAGGCCCATGTCCAGCCACAATTTGGGTATCATGCTGTCAGCATACTTAGATGTAAACTACATTTATAATGGACAGTACATGGAGAAATTTGAACTGTTGAAATAATGCAACAACAGTTTGTGGATATCTGTGGATGTAAAAATGTGTGTGGACTAAATATATCACTGGATTGAGCTCGGATTGTTTGAACACCATGCAGTAACCAGTGTAGTCTACAGTCCCCATGTGTCCAGCAGTGGTGGATGTATCTTGAAATAGTCTGCATCAATCAAACCGCAAGGAGTGTAGCTTTCTAACGATAGGTCGTATGAGTAAACCACTTAAACACAGCAGCTGTTTAAGTTGCCCATAAGTGGGCCACAGATGAAGATGATTTATACCGATGACAGGTGAAGTGAACAACATTGATCATCTTGGTACAGTGCAACGTTTTGCTGGGAAACCGTAGGTTCTGACATTCATGTGGATGCCACCTGACACGCTACACCCACCTAAACTTCAGTGCAGAGGCTCCCCCCCTCATGGCAACAGCACCCCCCAGTAGCAGTGGCCCCCAACAGGACAGTGCACCACGCCACACCACAAACACTGCTCAAGAATGGCCGTGCCAAAGAGCTCAATTTGTCAACCTGACCTCCAAATTCCCCAGATCCAAATAAATAAATAATTAGCTGCAGGTGTTTGATTTCAGCTGGCAGGCAGTGTCAAAAAAAGGGGTTGGGCAAAGATATTTTTCAACAGAAGAAAGAAGTCAAACAAATGTAATCATTGTTGTTAGATTCTGTGCCCGCTAGACGGCTGTTGTAGACATTACTTCAAGCTCTTGATTATTTTATGATCTTAAGATAACACCACCCTGGTTGAAGCTGTTTCAGTCTGCTTTATGTTAGAACATGCAGGCTCTGCACAGACGGGCACCCCGAGTTTGAATTAGGGACTCTTTCTGTGAAGCAAAAACCGCTGCAGCACTGTGCCGCCCTTGACTTTGTTGAGACAGATATGATATACACTTGTTTAAAGAAGACTTGGACATGTTAATTTGAATGAAATGTTAATGTGTGAGATGAATACTACTCAGTATCAGCCCCACCGTGGATGTGTTAGTTCAGCAGGTCACCACACTTGAGCAGGATGGAGTCCTGCCTTAATGCTGCATCATTTGGCATCAAAACAATATTAACCTCTGAATTTTGCATCTGGACGACACCATGAAAGTCTGAACTCTTTGAAACACTGATTTCTTTTTTAATAATTCAACTAGAATTTAGAGAGGAATTCATCAGAGAAGAAAAAAGCTGATCATTATCATGTGAGGGTTGCAGCTACACATGCAGCTCCACCCAACATGTAGTGGAGCCACCTGTCAGGTGTACCCAGGGGTGGTTACTGTGTATAAATACATGCATGTGTGATAAACAGTTCAAACTCTTGAGACGCATAAAAGCAAACAGTTGACTTCTCTGTTAACTTCAACAGACCCTGTTGCAATGGACGGATGGAGTGAGACAGAGGACGCCACCGAGGCAACTAAAATGATATGTAATCTGGTGAGCTTTAATCTACCTTTATTGTTCACAACCTCCACACACAACTCTCTGGTCTGCATTTCAGTCTGGATTAACACCATATTTTGTTCCATTCACACACAGGTGAAGGGCCAAGTGGAGAAACAGACAGGCAAGAACTACGGGGAATTCAAAGCAGTTAAATACAGGGTTAAGAATGTGGCGGGAGGACAACTCTTCGTCATCAAGGTAAATAATTTTGTGACATTTAAAAAAACCCATTTGAAAGCCTCAGATGTGTCTTTGTATTATATACAAACTGAATTAATTGTGTGTGTTAAACCTAATGTCATGTCAAAGTCATGGCAGGACAGTAAACACCAGATCTGTGATGGTAGAAGATCTTCACTGTTCAGCAACACATGATCCAGATGAATATATTTCTTTTGACTTGCAGTTATCCTCTCTCATGCAGGTTCATGTTGGAGGAGCAGACTATATTCATCTGAGTGTCTTCCAAATACCTCTGCTTGTACATGGTGTGCCGGACCCAAAGGAAATACTGCGTGGTGTAGAGCAGCACAAAACCAAAGAAGAACCCCTCGTACCTTTCACCAACTGATCACACAACCTGTTTCAACAGTTAAACACTTACAGGCTGCAGTCTCATGTTAAAATGCTCTGCTTCTTTATTCTGAAATAATTTTACACAGATATTTGATGTTGGGAAGAAGCAAGTTAAATGCACTGCCTTCTAAAGATATAAAGATTAAAGCATAAAAAAACCTCGATACATTTCTTACGGTTCTTATGTGCAGCATTTGGTTTTCTTTCCTGGAGTCGGATTTCTAACCAGCAGTAGTGGATGTATCTTGAAATAGTCCACATCAATCAAACTGTAAGGAGTGTAGCTTTCTAACGATAGGATGTGTGAGTTTTTTTGGTTAAGAAGTGTACCTCTTTACGGCATGTAGAAAACACAAGTTCCTCTAAAGACTCACAGATGATTTCAATCACAGGCAACATAACAAAGCACAGGGATGACTGGGTTAGGGATGGAATATGAGTGTGTTGGAGAAGAGGTCAGAGTGGTCTGGATGGTCTGCAGCCTGCAGCCAGGACTTAGCAGCAGCATGTTAGCATGCTAGCATTTGCTAAGTAGCATAGCACATAAGTACAGCTGAGGCTGATGGAAATATTTTTTTTTTTAGGTATTTTTAGGTATTCATAAAGCAAAGTACTGGACATATTTGTACCTGAAAGTTGGCAAAAATGTTCAATCAATAATTTTAAATAATCAAAATAGTTCAAATAATTGAAAGAAAAATCAGCAGGCCCTCATAAGCTGGAGCACTAAAATATTTTGCATAAAAAAATAATTTCAACATTTATGTAAAAAATAGTTGCCGACTAACTTTTAAATCTTTCGAATAATTGTCTCAGCTGCATGTGTATATTTTCATATGAATCATTAAAATACTCAAGTGAGGTAAAATTACCTCAAATTCTTACTTTAGTGCAGTACTTGAGTAAATGTACTTAGTTACATTCTATCACTGATCAGCAGAGGGACGCACAGTAACTGAAATTACACTAATGAACTAAGTACAGTCATATTTATCAGCCCACAAAAATAATAATTCAAATACTCTAAAACATAATAAAATAAAATTGATTAGATGATATTCATGCATTTTATTACTTTCCTCTTAAAACTTATTTTTCCTCGCATTGGCAAAACAATCATGATTGTGGAGGGCTATGTCTCGATTTATCTGTATGGATTTACAGGCCGACCTCTGAACACTAGAGGGAGTATGAGCGCTGTCTGTTATTACAGTAAGGACTGCTGAGACATGAATACAGTTTTGCTTCAGGCCCATTCTTCAGGTGGGATTTTTTGATTCTGTCATCTGTATCAAGTGTTTTTGTTGTGTCAGGATATTTCAGATGTTAGATTAATTTCCGTGCTGAGCTGAATATTAGTACAGAGAAATATCTGAATGTTTTTTTTTTTAAAAAATGAAATCAGTTTATTGAAATATGAGTTATCAAAAACTGTGTGTTGCTTTTCTTTCTGTTGAATCTGATCCATGAAACAGCTGCAGGTGTTTGATTTCAGCTGGCAGGCAGTGTGAGAAAAGGGTTGGACAGAAATTTTTCCACACAAGAAGGAGGACGACCAGTCCTAATAATTACTGTTAGATTCTGTGCCAGCTAAACAGCAGCTGTTGACATTGCTCCATGTTCTTGATTGCTACATGATCATAAGATAACACCATCCTGTCTGAAGCTGTTTCCGTCTGCTTTATATTATAGGTGAAAAGCAGACGATCCACCCTGACATCATATACACAGATTTGTACATTGTTCGCATAACATGTGTTCTTTTGTGGCAGCTCAACAGTGAGTTTATGATAATTTTCTGATATAATGTCTGTATAATATTATAATCCAGAATCTCTCCAGATGTCAGAGAACAGGTGTGTCTGCCTCAGGTGCTGCTGCTGCAGACAAAGTTGAACTAAGGCGGTGACATATTTAATAAAAGCCACACTGCGATCACCACACCCGACCTGATGTTTCTGGTTTTCACTTCCAGTGAACCACAGAGAAACAAGAGGACCCGCAAGGCAGCAATCCACACAGTAATCTGTCAAATAGCAACAGACAAGAGTCACGTAAAGTGTCTTTCCCTTCTGTGCCAAAAAAACAACCTGTTAATAGGAACACCACAGTGTCACCAGAATAGAGAGGTGCAGGTGCACTGCATGATACTAAATCTATTTCATTATATTTTCTGCCTTACAGAATACAGTGAGTGTTTGATCATATTTCAACATGTTAAGACCTTATTTGTAAAGGCAGAGGTGGTCACGTGTTTGTCCTGGGTCTAAAAATGCCCTCTAATAAATGATTAGAGAAAAGTAAAGTCAAATATAAATTGAAGAAATAACTGTGGTATTAAATTATAATATCAAATCATGAGTGAGCTCTTTTTTTATTCATTTATTAATTTAATCTGGAGGACCATTGCCTCTCTGCACCTCACATCTTTACATTAGCGGCGCTTGTGAGTTCGTTTTTTTTTTGCAAGGACGAGGAGTCTGTTCCACAGAAGATGCTGTTTCTACAATATGATACTGTTCTACAAAAAGAACTGAGTCCCTCTTCAGTTGGTGCACTGTTTGGTCCACTTTAAGAGGACTGAGTTTGGTTAATTTAAAAAGGACTAAATGTGAAAACACCGTTGAAGCAAACCGAACTCAAGTTCGGTTTGCTTCAGAGGGGTCTGAGTTCTGTTGGAGTGTTCACTTATATAGTCACTGCTCTGAGTTTGCTTAGAGGGCTGAAAAGGACCAAGTGTGAAAACACCCGCAATGGAACTGAGCCATCATTACTGTTATCAGTTTCACCAGTGCTTCTCCTACTGTGACACATCAAAATGTCTGCTGTGAAAAAAGTCCATGGCAAGGGAGATTTGATGTCAAGGGCTGTTGTTTTTTTACCATTTTGGTGGAGAAGCACCAAAAAAGGAAAAGAGAAAAGAAGCAGCCACTTTGTCAACCTTCCTCAACAAAATACTGAGACATTTTCAAATGTAGTCACTTCTTAAAGGAAATGGCCATTTTAGAATGAAAATACATACAGTACTTACTGACCCTCATGCTGACAAGAAGTCCAGTGTAGTTTTTAATCCACAAAACTCATTCGGGGTATCGGAGGATAAAAGCTAGCCGGAATAATAGCGACACTTGAAGTGCATGGAACCCACATTTTGAAAATGTAATAAAACTCAGATGTGTCTTTGTATAATATACAAACTGAATTAATTGTGTGTGTTAAACATAATGTCATGTCAAAGTCATGGCAGGACAGTAAACACCAGATCTGTGATGGTAGAAGATCTTCACTGTTCAGCAACACAAGATCCAAATGAATATATTTCTTTTGACTTGCAGTTATCCTCTCTCATGCAGGTTCATGTTGGAGGAGCAGACTATATTCATCTGAATGTCTTCCAAATACCTCTGCTTGTACACGGTGCGCTGGACCCAAAGGAATTACTGCGCAGTGTAGAGCAGCACAAAACTTCTTTCTTCCTGTTACGGTCCGGGAGGCAGACACCGTCTCCACATTTAAGACTAGACTTAAGACTTTCCTCTTTGATAAAGCTTATAGTNACCTTTCACCAACTGATCACACAACCTGTTTCAACAGTTAAACACTTACAGGCTGCAGTCTCATGTTAAAATGCTCTGCTTCTTTATTCTGAAATGATTTGACACTGATATTTGATGTTGGAAAGTTACAAGTTGAATGCACTGCCTTCTAAATATATAATAAAGATTAAAACTTTTTTTTTTTTAATTAATATTTATTTCTTGTGGTTCTTATGTGCAGCATTTGGTTTTCTTTTATAAAGTATGATTTCTAAAATAGATGCTGGCTTGGCTGGAAAAAGGTTTGACAAATAAATTTAAAAAAGGTAAATAAATCCCTGCAGTTCACACAAACCTTATTATGAACATACAGATTTTTAAATTTCTTAAGTTGTGAGATCTGATCCACAAACCAGGAAACATTTTCTTGCTGTCAGTTACTTGACAGGAGTCCTGGAGGAGGAAAATGTATTTCATATTACTTCTGAGATTACTAAATGAGTGTGGAGCATACAGAATCTGACCAAATCAGGATAAACAGTGAAACTAAGTCCTGTTTGCAAAACTTTCCTGAACAAATTACAAACAAAAAAGACTAACACTATTAAGAGTGTGCAGCCTGCCATCAGCTCTGTGAGGCTGCACTGAGGCACAGTGGTGCTATGAGCTAAATGCTAACATGTTCACATTGTCATTAGGATTTATTACCTGGTAACCCTGAATGTGTGTACAAGATTTTACACCAAACCACTCAACAGTTAATGAGATGTTTCAGATATATCAATCTGTACATGAATTTAAGACGGAGTGGATTCAACTGTACCACCTCCCTGCATACAGAAAACACTGAGTTCCTCGGTGGTCCAGGTGATTTAAAACACACACAAGACATGTCACTTGAAAATGTTTCATTGTCTTTTTAAAAAACTCCTTTTGTACAATGTTTGTCATTAAAGAAGCACATGGATGACTCTTTTACAGCTGTGGTAATGCATTACAACGATCACAATGGAATACAAGTGTGTTGGAGGAGAGGTCAGAGTGGTCTGGATGGTCTGCAGCCTGCAGTCAGGACTCAGGAGCAGGTCACAGTTTCAGCCCCAGTCCAGATTCAAACCTCGAGTGAAGCAGCTCTGCTCGTCAGACCTCCGTCGTCACTTCACCTTCGGAGGCGTGTAGTGGATTCTGCACCTTTCTTTGAAAACCTGAACACAGTAAAAAAACAGGAACAATTAAGGCAGAGGATAATGACAGAGCATTTGTGTGTGATAATAGGACATTAGTGATAATGGTGAGCATACCTTCAGACTTCTATCATTGACAACCTCCTCAACATTCAGCTCTGATTGCATAAGCTTTAACTGGAGACAAGAAAGAAAACATGGCAGCATCATTACATACATATATAAAACACCAATTTAACTGTTTATATAATTCCACTGAAAAAGGGTCAGTTCACCTAAATTGTAGATAATCGTGCAGATGACAGAAGGAGAAATAATGTTGTCTGTGTGTGGAACTTACCATGTAGAAAAAAAAATACATTTATAAAGGGGGGAACTATTGATTTTTAAGGACAAAAAGAAGCAACAGAATCCAAAATATCCTGACTTTTACTCCAGACTATGGGTTGAACTCAAAAAACACTCCATCCTACATTTCCCATAAGGCAACTTGGTGGCATCTGTCATCAGATTCCCCTCCTGCCTCCTAGATCCCCACTTCTTTACAACTCCACACAAACTGTCTGTAATGCAGGCTCTCTATTAAAATGTTTCCTTTTCTGTGCCTGATCCGAGACAATAATGACATCACTATGAAATCATCAGGGTCATTTTTTTTTTCATACTTTGTAAAACTCCTCCTAGAGCCACAGAAGACATTACACACACCTCACAGCTTGGTGGTGTTTGAAGCCCTCTAGTGTTACAAACAGGACTTACTTTGGTCTGCTCCTTTCTGAGCTGTTTGATGAGCTCCAGGTTTTCGCTGTCTTTTGCCCTCTCTTCACGCAGTTGTCCCACCACCTCCGATGTCTGGGCTATACAGGATTTGATAGCTTTGTCTCTGGTCAGATGGGCCTCCATCATCTGTGGAATACATGAGATTATTACAGAAAAAGCTGTGAAAGACTTAGCCCCACAACACACACAGACACATTATTTTAGTCACGACCGTCACTCACAGATTCATAGAGCTGTTTGCATGTTTGCGTGGCATCCACTTTCCCTGAGAAGGAGACTGTGGGCACGGTGGTGTTCAGAGCATGGACGATGCGATCATCTATGGTGCGCATCACCTTCAGCACCTCCTGAGAAACACACAGGGTGGCAAAGAGACAGTCAGCAGCCTCACTTCAACTAAAACCATCAAGCAACCATCTGACAGTCACAAAAACATGCACAGTTCTTTAATGGGATTCAAATTAAACTATAAGGCATCACAGAGTGGCACGATCATTGAACAAAACATGGCATTAAAAAATGCTGACATGGTCCCTGTTCAGAGGTTTGCATACCCTTTGTTCTTAGAACTGTGTACTGCCCCCTTTGGGATCAATGATGGCTTGCAGTCTTATGCAACAGTTGTGGACAAGGCCTTTTATTTTCTCAGGTTGTAAAGCTGCACACTCTTTTTACCGTAAAGCCTCCAGGTCCTATAAATTCTTGGAAATTCTTGCATTAACTACATGTTTGAGAGCTTTCCATAATGGCTTAGTGGCACTGAGGTCAGGAGCCTCAGATGGTCACTCCAGAACCTTCACTTTTTGCTGCTGCCGCCACTGAAGGGACGACTTGACCTTGGGTTTTGGAACACTGTCATGTTGGAAGATCCAAGTGTAGATTGTCTCGGGACTGTATTTCATACGGAATGCATGATAAGTCACATTATCAAAAAAAAAGACCAGTTTTCACAAATTCTGCCAGGGGTATGTCAATTTATGAGCACAACTACATTTGAATTCATCCCCGGTTATCAGAGCGTGGCCTGACATCTCAGAAACAACACACATGATTTTGCAGACGACATGCTCCTGGATCAACACTGCAATTAACCAATCACAACCCTCTGACATCATCAGTGTGCTGCACCTGTGCTTCTTTCAAAATTGCTTTGAGCTTCTTCAGAGCTAAGCTAGTTTTCCTAAATGAAGTTAATAAAATAGATCAAAATCCTCAACAACATAAAACAAAAACTTTATCAGCTACTGCAGTGTTAGCGAGTTAGCTAGGTTTTGCAAACGAGTAAGCTTGGGTGTAGAATGTTAGCCAGTTAGCTTGCTATGTAGGTTGGCTTTGCTAACGACTAAGCTTGGGTCTAGAATGTTAGCACGTTAGCTTGCTAAGTAGGTCGGCTTTGCTAACAAGTAAGCTTGGGTCTGGAATGTTAGCACGATAGCTTGCTAAGTAGGTTGGCTTTGCTAATGAGTAAGCTTGGGTCTAGAATGTTAGCAAGTTAGCTTGCTAAGTAGGTTGGTTTTGCTAACAAGTAAGCTTGGGTCTGGAATGTTAGCACGATAGCTTGCTAAGTAGGTTGGCTTTGCTAATGACTAAGCTTGGGTCTAGAATGTTAGCAAGTTAGCTTGCCGAGTAGGTTGGCTTTGCTAACGAGTAAGACGGGGTCTAGAATGTTAGCATATTAGCTTGCTAAGTAGGTTGGTTTTGCTAACAAGTAAGCTTGGGTCTAGAATGTTAGCACGTTAGCTAGCTAAGAAGGTCGGCTTTGCTAACGAGTAAGCTTGGGTCTGAAATGTTAGCAAGTAAGCTTGCTAAGTAGATTGGCTTTGCTAACGAGTAAGCTTGGGTCTAGAATGTTAGCAAG